TGGGTACTAAATTGTTCATTATTTGAAGAGGGGAGAGAATGAGTTAGGGGAGTTGAGGATGGCAACGGATTTCCTATATGTGTCTTGTGGCGTTGTATATGAGGAATCAAAATGATGTATTGCCACAGGTAAAGGAGAGCCTTGGGTGGGATTAATTGACCAGGAGACTCGAAAGTAGTTCGTTCAATCCTAATCTTAAATTCATTTCTTTATATTTCCATTATACATTTCTGTGACTGCGCTTTGTAAACAGCTGATGTAAATTTGTCACATTGCAATTATATGCTTTGTCAATGATGATACTTGAGCACCTCCAACAGTCAAAGGGTGTAATTTACAACTTGACAGATTTCCTTTGGCACTGTCAGTTATAAATGTGAGCATAGGAATTTATAATAGAAGAAGTTAAAAGAGTGCACAGTGTTCAAGAGTATCATTTACCACTGGCCATCAGTGCATCGATCATTGGCTTTGATTAAGTAGAAAATGTAGTTTGTAAAAATGGCACAAATAATAAGAGATTACTGCATCTTTTGATAGTCTTAACACATTACTTTATTGAGGCTATGTCAACTGATGGGAGTCTCCTCAGTGGTTAGCACTGCTGCCTTACAGCACCGGGGACCTGGGTTCAATTCCACCCTCGGACGACTGTCTGCGTGGAGTTTACATTCTCCCCGTGTCTGCATGGGTTTCCACCAGATGCTCTGGTTTCCTCCCACAGTCCAAAGATGTGCAGGTTAGGTGGATTGGCCATGCTAAATTGCCCATAGCATTCAGGGATGTGTAGGTTAGGTGGGTTATAGGGGGATGGGTCTGGATGGGATGCTCTGAAGGTCGGTGTGGACTTGTTGGGCCAAAGGGCCTGTTTCCACACAGTAGGGATTCTGTGATAAACACAAAATACTTAGTGTTGAAATGCTTGGTCCATGTAACCCGGCATCACTTTCTTCAGTACATTCTTCACTGTCTTGGTGACTATGCTAACAATTACCTTTGACTGTTAAAGGGTCACAATGATCTTTTTCATTCATTTTTCTTAATCCTTTAATTTTTTTTAATCTTAGATCTGCTTTCCTTTTAAAGCAATCAGGTTCTTCCTTACCATGAGGATCCCTCATTCTTCCATGGGCTGAGGATGTCACTGGCAAGGATAGAATTTTGTTGCCATCCTGTCTTGCCCATAACTTGAGAGGTCAACTACAATACTGTCGATATGGAGTCTATATATAGACCAGACAGGGGAAGAATGGTAGATTTCCTTCCTCTACCGGTTGTTAGTGAACCAACTGGGTTCTTTCCTCACAATCAGTGCTAGTTTTTTGTCTACCATTGAGACAACAGACTGTGTGTGTCTTTCGTTCTGTATTTTTCCCAGACTTTTTGTTAATTGAATTCAAATTCTGCAACCTGTCTTGCACCCTCTCCGCTCTCCCCCCCCACTTCCCACCAATGCAATGGTCAGTGTTCCAGATTACTATCCAGTCTCATTCCTGCTCCCATCTCGTCTTGAAAACTGAAAGTGTTAATATCAAGTTCGATAGGAAGGGTGCACTATTACCAAGATTTTTTTTGTAATATGCTGTTCCATCCTTAGCTCTGTATGAATAGATGAGCTCTGTCTCAGCCTGTCCTAGCCAAAGCAGCCTGGAGTCCTATGTCAGATTGCAGTTGATTATAAAGGAGGGTATTCTTGGGTGGTATCCCTCCTCTGGTAGCCTACTACATCCCTCTTTCTGCGCTCCCAACCTCCAACCCACCCTTCCCTCTGGTCATCACCAACACAACCGATTGATGGAATATCTTTCATCAAATCTTTCTGCCACTTAAGAACACAGAACAGTACAAGCCCTTCGGCCCACTATGTTGTACCAAACTTTTACCCTAATCCTAAGGTCTATCTAACCTCCACCCCTACCTTTTATACCATCATCCATATGCCTATCTAAGAGACGTTTAAATGGCCCTAATGAGGCCGACTCCACTACCCTCTCCGGCAATGCATTCCATGCCCCTACCACTCTCTGAGTAAAGAACCTACCTCTGACGTCTCCCCGATATCTACCTCCTTTCACTTTAAAACTATGTCCCCTCGTAATAGCTACTCTGGCTGTCTATTCTATCTATACCCCTGATCATTTTGTACACCTCTATCAAGTCACCTCTCATCCTTCGTCATTCTAAAGGGAAAAGCCCTAGCTCTCTCAACCTTTCCTCGTAAGACCTTCCCTCCATTCCAGGCAACATCCTGGTAAATCTCCTCTGCACCTTTTCCAACGCCTCCACATCTTTCCTGTAATGAGGCGACCAGAACTGGACACAATACTCCAGATGTGGCCGAAACAACAGGCTTTTGTATAGCTGGAGCATAACTTCATGGCTCTTGAACTCAATCCCTCTATTAATGAAAGCTAACACACCATACGCCTTCTTAACAACTCTATCCACCTGGGTGGCAGCTTTCAGGGAACTGTGAACATGAACCCCAAGATCCCTCTGCTCCTCCACACTGCCAAGAATCTTTCCGTTAGCCTTGTATTCTGCTTTCAAGTTTGTCCTTCCAAAATGAATCACCTCACCCCTTTCAGGGTTAAACTCCATCTGCCACTTCTCAGCCCAGCTCTGCATCCTATCAATGTCCCTTTGTAACCTAGAACAGCCCTCCGCACTGTCCGCAATGTGACCCACCTTCGTATCATCTGCGAACGTGCTAATCCACCCTTCCACTCCTTCATCCAAATCATTTACAAAAATCACAAATAGAAGAGGACCCAGGACAGATCCTTGTGGTACACCACTCATAACTGAGCACCATGTTGAATATTTTCCATCCACTACCACCCGATGTCTTCTAAGGGTCAGCCAATTCTGAATCCAATCTGCCACATTTCCCCCTATCCCACGCCTCCTTACCTTCTGCATGAGCCTACCAGGGGAACCTTATCAAACGCCTTACTTAAATCCATGTATACCACATCCACTGCTCTACCTTCATCCACGTGTTTGGCCACCTCTTCAAAGAATTCAGTAAGGTTTGTGAGGCATGATCTACCCCTCACAAATCCGTGCTGATTATCATGAATCAAACTGTGCCTTTCCAAGTGATCATAAATCCTATCTCTCAGAGCCCTTTCCAATAATTTGCCCACCACTGATGTAAGACTAACTGGCCTGTAATTTCCGGGGTTATCCCTATTCCCTTTTTTTGAACAAGGGAATGACGTTTGCCTCTCTCCAAACTTCCGGCACTATACCCGTGGACCGTGAGGACGGAAAGATCATCGCCAAAGGCCCTGCGATCTCTTCCCTTGCTTCCCATAGAATCCTTGGATAAATCCCATCAGGCCCGGGGAACTTATCTATCTTCAACTTCCTCAAAATTCCTAGCATATCTTCCTTACTAACATCGACATCGTCTAGCCTATCAGCCTGTTTCACACTGTCTTCCTCTACAACTAGGTCCCTCTCAGTTGTGAGTATTGAGGAAAAGTATTCATTAAGGACCTCTCCTATCTCTTTAGGCTCCGTGCACAAGTTCCCTTTACAATCCTTGATCAGCCCTACCCTTTCTGTGGTCATTCTCTTACTTATTCCTCATGTACATGTAAAAGGCCTTGGAGTTTTCCTTGATCCTATCTGCCAAGGTTTTCTCATGCCGCCTTATAGCTCTCCTAAGCTCTTTCTTCAGCTCCTTCCTGGATAACTTGTATCCCTCTGGAGCCTTTTCCGTTCCTTGTTTCCTAAACCTTACATAAGCATCCTTCTTCCTCTTAACCAGTCGTTTGACCTCTCTTGAGAACCAAGGCTCCCCCACTTGACCGCATCTTCCCTGCCTGCGAGGGACAAACATATCGAGCACACGCAGTATGCATTCCTTAAGCAATCTCCACATTTTCAATAGTGCTCTTCCCTGACAGCATCTGTTCCCAATTTATGTTACCCAGTTCTTGCCTAACAGAATTGTAATTACCCTTTCCCCAATTATAAACCTTACCCTGCTGTATGTACCTATCCTTTTCCATGACTATTGTAAAAGTAACAGAGTTATGATCGCTACCACCAAAATGCTGTCCTGCCAACAGGTCTAACACTTGGCCCGGTTCATTGCCAGGCACCAAATCCAAAGTGGCCTCTCCTCGTGTTGGTCTATCTACGTACTGTGTCAGGAATCCTTCCTGAACGCACTGGACAAAATCCGCTCCATCTAAAATATTACAACTAAAATGTTTCCAATCAATATTTGGAACGTTGACCATGACTACAACCCTGTGACTTCTGCACCTTTCCAGTATCTGCCTCCCAATCCGCTCCTCTACTTCTCTGCAACTATTAGGGGGTCTGTTTTTAAAAAAAAAAACCAACAAAGTGACTGCTCCTTTCTTGTTCCTGAGCTCAACCCAAACTGACTCTGTGGACATATTCTCGAACTGCCTTTCAATAGCTGCTACACTAGCCCTGACTAGCAGTGCCACTCCCCGGCCTCTCTTTCCACTCTCCCTATTTCTTTTAAAGCATCTAAATCCCAGAAAATCCAACAACCATTCCTCTCCCTGAGTTACCCAAGTTTCTGTAATGGCCACAACATCGTAGTTATCCTAGCCAATCAACTGGTAAAATCTGATCAAGAAGATTACAACTTTGACAGTTTGTTCACAGCAAAACAAAAGGCAATAGGAAGCTAATGCGTGCACAAAAACACTGATTTTTAAAAAGTTGGTGACAAAGTTAGTTATTTTTTGGGGGGACCACGATATAAACTAATCACAGTAACATTGACATTAAAATTAAAGGCACAAAAATATTATAATTTCTGTTTAATAACATCGTATGTATAGGTTACGGTGTTTTGCTGTTTGATTCAAGATGTTGTTTAATGCGTTGAATGACTGCACAGAACAGGATAGATTCTAGGCATTAAAATGTGGTTGTTCTTGTCTGGCACTGATATACAGGTAAATTCAATCCTTGATTCAAAATAACTTTTTTCTTTTCCTGACCAGTTCTTCCACGAGTGACCTCTCTGGCTATGATCCCGGGTATCTGAGGAGGAGTCCGGATCAGTACAGCTCGAGGGGTAGTATGGAGAGCCTGGACCACACCAACCCTCCGTATCATTCCTGCAGCTTGTCACCATCCAAATCCACTAATAGCATCGATCAGCTTTCCCACCATCATAGCAAAAGGGATTCTGCCTATAGCTCCTTCTCGACCAGTTGTAGTATTCCTGAATATCCAGCTGCACCCTTCCGGACTGAACGTTCCTATTCCATGGAAAACATGCCTTCCAGGAATAGTCTCCATGAAGGAATCAGACAAGCCGACATAAAGTATGTAAAAACAGTTTATGATTCCCACAGAGGAATTTCTGAGGAGCATGAGGTTAGCTGTCCTTCGACAAAGAGCTCAAATAGCCGAGCCCAGATGGATGCCAGGAGCTATTATAAGTCCTACAGTGGTAACAGACACAGTATTGGGCCAGTATGGAATACCCCGAGTAGGAGCTCTTTTGAGGCAGATAATAAAGCACCTCCTCTTCCACCAACCCGCAGTGACAGTTTCATGGCAATCAGAAGTCATGAGAAACCTACCTCCTGGTCAAGTCTAGACGGACAGGCCAAGCCTGTTCGACCTCAGCCAAAGGGAGCACGGCCTCACCATATCAACACAGGTTCCTCTGGGCAAACCCACCCACTGAAGTCAGCATTTTTAGAAGGACAACTCAATACAGTATTGGAGAAGAGCCCTGAAAGTAGCCCAGCTGTTCAGCCGAAGCACAGTTACACTCAAGCACCACAACCAGGTCAAGCAATGCTGCCAACTGGAATTTACCCAGTGCCTCAGCCTGAACCACAGTATGCCCAGGCACCGACCACCAGCACAAACTGTCTGCATCAAAACAGTAATAACGGGTTATTCTACCCTGCCCTAAGTAGAGAAAATACACACAGTGCTCAGAATTCAACTGAAAGGACTAAATGTACTCCGTGCAATGTAGAGGAAAGCAAAAACCAAAGCACTGTCAATAAACCAGCTCTTTACCAATCCAGCGCTATAAACTTTGATTCTAACAGTGAATATGAAATGAACTCGGAACATCCAGACGGACAGTATACCCACTACAAGGTGCATGTCTTCTCTGATTCAAAATGCTTTCCTGATACAGTGCCTCCTGATGGAGGCCCACTGCCTTGTCACAGTTCCCCAGCCAGTGCCAGCGTGACCGATGCACAGTACCGTTGTAGAAATATCGAACCTCCACAAGCACAGCAGAGAAGGCAAAGCAGTGAGAAAGGCTCAGCCAATCAGCAAGCTGAGAACTGGCAAGAAAGAGGTCAAACGGATGGAGACGTTGGTCAGAGGAAAATTGAAAGGGAAAATCATCCAGTTCAGATGCAGGATGAGAACAGAGACCAACAAGGCTCGCCTTTGTGGCAGAACCACCCAGAGAGCAAAATGGTCCACCGTAGGCAACAAAGTTTGGACGCAAAAGCGTTACAGCAGTGGGAAAGTTACAATGATAGCCGATCATCCCAAAAATGGGATCTGGACTGCAAAGAGCAGGTTCCTGAACCACGGAGTCACTATGAAAGGCAATTGTGTCTGAAACGCTACAGTGACATAATCAATACATCTCCATATTCACAGCCAGCGTACGAAGAGCAGACTCAGTGCCAAGAGCAGCATAATAAATCTAATTTCAGCAGGTCAAGGTTCAGTACCAGTAGCACCCAAGGTTCCCAGAGTGGTCACTTTGGAAAGCCTGAAATGACAAAACGTTCCTCTGTGCTTGAGACTGTCAATAAGATCGAGCAACGTGAGCACAACAGTGAGAAGTTTCCAAACAACCGACGCCTGCACTACAGTTCAGACTCTTTAATGTCAGGCCACAATTCCAGTGCCAGAAGTTCACTTAACTGCCTGGATGATATGAACAACAGATACAGTGTCGCAGAAGGGCAGCCAGCAAAGCAGCCATCAACTTCAATGAGCAACCTAATAACTGCAGACAAGACCCCTATCCTGCATCACTTGACGTGTGAGAACAGAGAAGCCGGCACTAAAGTAGAGGAGCTGAGACGTCAGGATGGTGAGCTGCAGCTTCCTGCTAAATCTGCACAGAAGAGCAAACGTGCTTCACTTCCCATCCAAAACAAGGGAGGCCAGCTCAGCAAGAGCAGAAGTTCTATCCAGTTGATGGATAAAGGTGAGGAGGACACCTTGTGGGAAGATGACCTCTCAGGCTCTCCCCCTGATAACGCCTTTAACCGAGCTTACCGAAACAGTCTGAAGGACGCTCAGAGCAAGGTACTGAGGGCCACTTCTTTTCGACGTAAAGACCTGGATTTAACCTCCCCGTATGTGAACAAACCAAGCATTCCTGCCAGACCCGCTTCGGCCCATGTTGGCTCAGTGTCTCAGCCAAAGCTCTTGCACGTACCAAAGGAAAGGCATTGCCTCACACCTACAGAAGTGAGGAATCCGAACCCGGACTTCAGCAGCAAAGAGCTTCAAAACAGTCACCACGTCGCACGTATCGGAAACAGGAAACGCTTGACGGCGGAGCAGAAGAAGCGATCTTTTTCTGAGCCGGAAAAGATTAATGAGCTGGGAGTGTCAGATAGCGAAATCTCATTTGCTGCTCAACATAAACCAGATCGAGCATTTACTTTTCCCGAGGCCACGGAACTGCAGTCTGTGGCGGACAGGCGGAGGCTGTTCGAAAGAGAAGGAAGGACCTTGTCCACCGTGAACCTCTCCAAGCCTGAACTGAAGCAGATCCAACAGAACGCACTCGCCGATTATATTCACCGGAAAACCGGCAAAAGGCCGTTCGTGCAGGAAACGGGCGTGGTGAAGGAGCGATCGCAGAGCGTTTACCTGCAACCGAGCAGATCTGATGATCAGAGCCTTTCCTCCTGCTCAAGTATGAGCTCACTGCTTGACCAGAGCGTCTACGGTCGCCAGCCTCTGGATAGATTGCCAGAGACCGCTCGTGTTTCCTCAACGCTCCCCCCTGGACTTCCGGGCAACTTTGATTTATATAGCAGTGTACATCAGGCTGACAACAGAGCCTCGCTGAACCGGTACAGAATGAACATGGAGCGCTCATACGGCTCAGAATTAACACTGAACAAAATAGCTCCTCAGGAACCAGTCCGACCTTCTAATCACTCCCATCAAAATCAATCCCACCATCAACAACAGCTGGCATTCGATAGGCAGTCATCTGCCAGGAATTCTGGAAAGTTTGCATCTGCTGACAACCTACTGGAAAGATCGGAAAACCCGGTGGCAGTCCACATTCGGTCAAGATCGTCACCGTCAACTGAAATGATCTCTGAGGTGGGTGGAAAATTCATGGGCAAGTCAATGTCAGTGACCCCCATTCAATTCTAGTAAAAGTGAAACTGTCAGTTTTGAAGTAGAAAGTGATCTTTTCATAAAACATTGAGGGTCAAGGCATGAATTAACAACACTGAAGGTTTTATCTTAGTAGAATATTATCTTCATTCATCACCATCTAGTCCAGTGTCGTCTTTAAAATGTCAAACCAAGAACTACAAATTGGAATTGGAATTGAAATGCCTAACCAGGCATTGTGTTGTGACTGCATGATGTTGGGAGCTGGTGGACCCCATCGCAGTTATTAGTGACCACATCTGTAGTAAGTGTTGGTTGCTTGAGGAACTCCAGCTTAGAGTTGGTGGGCAGGAGTCTGAGCTTTGAACACTGCAACACATCTGGGAGGAGGAGAGTTACCAGGATGCTGCGTTCCAGGAGGCAGACACATTCATTAGATTAACTACCTTAGAGCAGGAGGGTGTGACTATGGCTGAGTCAGGTAGAGGGGTCTCGGAGGTAGTGCTGAAACAGCCTCAGCACTTGAGCTTGTCTGACAGGTCTGAGATTCTTGCTCCCTGTGTGGATGAGATCAGGGACTGTAGGAAGGATGAGCAGACTGACCATAGTACCACGTACAGGGAGCAGATCAAGAGAGGGGAGAAAAATGAAATGTGGTTGTAATCGGGGATAGTATAGTCCGGGGAGTAATCACTGTTCTCTGTGGCCAGGATCGAGAGTCCTGAAGGCTCTTGTGCCTGGGATCAGGATATCTCGATGTCTCAGTATCTCTCATCTGGGCTGCAGAGGAACTTGGATTTGGAGGGAAAAGATTCAGTTGTTGTGGTCCACCAATGAACTGAGTGGCTATGCTGAGCCTCAGTTTAAAAAGCAGGTCAAAAAATTGTAGTAATCTCCGGATTACCACCTGAGCCACGAGCAAATTGGTACAGGGTCAACAAGACTAAAGAAGAAGGTTGGTGTGGGAGAAACAGATTTGAATTCATGGGTCATTGGCACCAGCACTGGGGAAAGGAGGGAGCTGTTCCAATGGGACAGGCTCCACCTGAATCCTGCTGGGACCAGAGTCCTGGTGAATCATTTTTCTAGGGCTGTGGGTAGGGTTTTAAACAACATGGTGGTTGGAGGGGTTGGGTTAGATACATGAAAAATTATAGGAAAGCTTAAAGGGGAGAGGGCTCAGCAGAGGTTATTAAAGTTACTAGAATAAGAAAGAACAGGAAAGGCTCAGGAATCTAACTTCAGGGACAGCAAATAAGAGGATAACTATGACTGCTTCTCCTTCTCAACACAGCACTGAGGTTGTTGTATGCAATTGCATTTCAGTATATAAAACAAGGTAAATGAGCTTGTAGTGCAGATGAAAATCGGCAGGTACAATGTTGTAGGTATCACAGAGCTGTGGCTGCAAGGGGTTCAGGGCTGGGAACTAAATATCTAAAAGATGTACATCCTACTGAAAGGTCAGGCATATGGGCAGAAGGATTTGGGGTTGCCTTGTTGGTAAGAAATGAAATTAAATAGATAGCAAGAAGCAATATAAAGTCAGAGGGCCTAGAATCTGTGTGGGTAGAATTGAGGAATTGGAAAGAAAAAATGAGCCTGAAGGAAGTTGTTTAAAGGCTTCCTAGCACTAGTCAGATGTAGGGAAGAAAATAAATCAGGAGAGAAAAAACATGAAAGGCACTATTACAATAATGGTGGGGGACTGGAATATGCATGTGGACTGAGAAAATCGAGTTGGTAGCAGATCTCAAAAAAAGGAATTTGGGAAATGTCTGAGTTTTTTTTTGTTTGGAGCAGCTTGTGGCAGCGCACACTAAGGAACAGGAAATTCTGGATTTGGTAATGTGCTATGAGGCTGACTTTGGGGAGCTGAAGGTGAAGAAACCACTGGAAGGGAGTGACCTTAATATGAAAACATTTACCCTTAAGTTTGAGGGTGAGAAGCTGGAATCAGATGTAACGGTATTACAATTGAGTAAAGGTAACTATGAAAACATGAGGGAGGAGCTGTCAGAGGTGATTAGAAGCAGATTCTAGCTGGGAAGACAGTGGAGCAGCAACGGCAGGAGTTTCTGGGGGTAATTCGGGAGGCATAGCAGAAATTCATCCCAATGTCGAAGAAACATGCTAAGGAGAGAATGAGGCAACCATTAATGACAAGGGAAGTCAGGGCCATAAAAGCAAAAACATACAAGGTTAGTGGGAGCCAGAGGTTTGGGAAGCTTTTAAAAATGAGCAGAAGATAACTAAAAAATAACGGGGGGAGAAGATGAAATGAGAGTAAGCTAGCTAGTAATATAAAAGAAGATTGCAAGAGTTTTTTTCAGACATCTATAAGGTGAGAGAGACGAGAGTTAACATTGGACTGCTAGAAGATGAGGCTGGCGCAATAGTAATGGGGAACAAAGAAATAACAGAGGAACTGAATAGGTACTTTGCATCAGTTTTCATTGTGAAAGACACCAGCAACATACTGGAACTTTGAGAGTCGGGGCAGAGGTGCACGTAGTGGCCATCATAAGGAGAAGGTGCTGGGGATGTTAAAAGGTTTGAAGACAGATAAATCACCTGGACCTGATGGCTACACTCCAAGGTTTTGAAAGAGATAGCTGTGTAGATTGTAGACTCATTGGTGATCTGTCAGGGAGGACTGGAAAATGGCTTATTCAACACCACTGTTTAGGAAGGGAGGGAGGTAAAAGACAGAAACCATAGGCTGGTTACCCTGATCTCAGTCATCAATAAGAGTCCATTATTAAGGTGAGATTGCAGAAGTGCATGGTAAAATAGGGTGGAGTTGACATGGCTTCATCAGGGGGAGGTCATGCCTGACAAATCTGTTTCGAATTCTTTGAGGAGGTAACGAGCAAATTGGATGAAGGAAAGCCAATGGATGTGATTTATTTGGATTTCCAGAAGGCCTTTGACAAGGTTCCACACAGGAGACTGCTAAGTAAGAGCACGTAGTGTTAGGAGCATGGTACTGGCATGGATAGAGGATTGGCTGACTGGCAGAGAGTGAGGATGAAGAGGACTTTTTCAGGATGGCAGATGGTGACTAGAGCAATTCCACAGGGATCAGTGTTGGGACCACAACTATTCACTTTATACATTAACGGTCTAGACAAAGGAACTGAGGGCATTGTTACTAAGTTTGCAGATGACTCAAAAATAGGTGGAGGGATAGGTCGTGTTGAGGAAGTGGGGAGGCTGCATGAGGACTTGCTTAGCGAGGGGACAAAAGTGGCAGATGGAATACATTGTGGGAAAGTGTGAGGCTATGCCCTTCGATCGGAAGGATAGATGCATAGACTATTTTCTAAACAGGGAAAGGCTTCAAAAATCTGAGCACAAAGGGACTTAGGAATCCTAGTTCAGGATTCTCTTAATCTTAACATGCAGGTTCAGGTGGCAACTAGGAAGGCAAATGCAATGTTGACCATCATTTCAAAGAGGGACAGAATACAACAGCAGAAATGTACTGCTGAGGCCGTATAAGGCTGTAGTCAGAACATATTTGGAATGTTGTGAGTAGGTTTTGGCCCGGTATCTAACGAAAGATGTGCTAGCATTGGAGGAGTCCCAGAGGAGATTTAAAAGAATGATCCCAGGGTTGAGGGCTTGTCATTATGAGGGGCAGTTGAGAGCTCTGGGTCTGTATTTGATGAAGTTTAGAAGGACGAGGAAGGATCTTATTGAAACTTACAGGATACTGAGAGGCTTAGATAGAGTGGATGTGGAGAAGATGTTTCCACTAGTCAAAGAGACTAGGACCCGAGGGGACAGCCCCAGAGTGAAGGGACAACCCTTTAGAACTGAGCTGAGGAGGAACATCATCAGCCAGAGGGTAGTTAATAAGTGGAATGCATTGCCAGAGACGGCTGGGGAGGCCAAGTCATTCAGTATATTTAAGACAGAGATAGAATCTTGATTAGTAAGAGGATCAAGGGTTACGGGGAGAAGGCAGGAGTATGGAGTTGAGAAACATGTCGGCCACGATCAAATGGTAGAGAGACTCAATGGACTGAATGACCTAATTCTGCTCCTATATCGTATGGTCTTATGGTCTTGATGTGCTATAATGTCTCAGCAAGCTGAGAGTAAGTTATAGATCGCTGGCTGTGCACGGCATAGACTTGTCATTGTTAGGAATGGTAGAATCTAACAAAGTAGGAACGGCCATTCTGCCCAATACACCAGCGCCAGCCCTTTGTAAGAACTAGTCACAAGTCCCAGCCTTCTCCCCACAACTCTGCAAACCAGTTTTCTTCAAGTATATGTTCACATGCCTTTTGAAAATTCCTATGAAATATAATGGTACGACCCTTTCAAAAAGTGTGTTCCAAATCATTAACAACCTCTGTGTGAAGAAATTTCCCATGTCGATCTTGGAATTAGAACAACCTTTACAGTCATGTGCACTCAAATGAATGCAGTGAAAAGTATGTTACCTCCTGCTGCCATCTTAGGTACAGCGTACCTGGGTACAGATACTTTGTGTTGCTACAGAATTGAAATAGTTGGGGAAAAAAAAGACTAGCATGGAAATACAGAGTTTAAAATGTCCAGAATGATGATAAAAAGTGTCTTTAAAGTACTCAAGTTATAGTCCTTTCTCACAGAATCTTTGCCCACCGGCGGTCAGAACACGAGGCCTCTCTGCCTCCACGTGCTGGCCTCTGTCACGGATCCACCCCCAAGACTCATTCCCCTGGCCGGCCTGGACTCACTCTATTGCCTTTCCGGATTCTGGCTGCCACTCTGCTCCCAGTTCAGCCTGTGCTGGTTCTGCTCCTGTTCCAGGCTCCTCCACAAGTCACTTCCGAGACTCTGCCTGTGCTCGCCCTGGTCCCGTTCCGGTCACAACTTGCTTCCGGGACTTGCCTCCCAGGTCAGCCTGGGGTTGGTCTGCTCCTGCTCCGGGCTTCGGCCGCTGCTCGTCTCCCGCACTGACCTAGTCTCCGACTCGTCTGCTCTGCTGGTCTGGTCTCGGGCTCCACTCTCCATGCCTCCAGGTAGCGTAGTTTAAGAAGTTAAAAGTTTGGAGGGGAGATGGGAGGAAAAACTGCAGCAAAGAGAGGAAAAAGCAAAAGGAACTGGTGAGCAGAGGACCTCTGGCTGGAGCACCTTATTCTGCCACTATCTTGAGTTTTTAGTATTTTTTCTGCCAGTCATTTTTGTTTCATAATCTCTGAAAACTGACCCAATACCACTGGAAATAATATCCCCCACTTGCTCCTCATAATTTTGAAATACCTCTGTTACAGCACCCTGTATCTTTCTTCCCTTTTTAAGGAAAGCAATCACACTAATCCATCTCTTCACATAATACCCTTACTCTTCTAAAATCCAAAAGAACTGCAGATGCTGTAAATCAGGAACAAAAACAGAAGTTGCTGAAAAAGTTCAGCAGGTCTGGTGCATCTCTGAAGAAAAAAATCAGAGTTGACCTTTTGGGTCTGGTGACCCTTCCTCAGAACACTTCCTTACTCTACTATCGTCTTGATAAACCGAGTTTTGTATTCTCTCCAAGGTTTTGATATCCTTTCCAAAGGATGGTCCCCAAATTTTATATGATGTTCAAGCTGATGCTTAACTAAAAATTTGTATTGGTTTAGAGTGACTTCACAATTTTAGTATTTAAAACTCCTACTCTTAAGGCCAAGTATCCATGAAATTGTTAACCACCTTCTGAACTTTTCCTACCATCTTTTACGGATTAGTAGATATGTATACGATGTATATTCTGAATATGTAACAGAGTATGTGTCTATTCTTGCAACCCCTCAAAATAATACCATACAACCTCTCCATGTTATTCCTCCTGAAGTATATTGCTTCACAATTACCTGTATTAAATTGCATCTATCGTTTGTCTGCCTATTTCGTCAGGCTATCTCCTACTGAAGTAGTCTACTACTTTTCTCACTATTTACAAAGTTACCCATTATTGTTCTTTTGATATTGCTCCATTACACTTCACAATTGTGTTCCAAGAATGATAAATCAGCATTAATGAATACTGAATCTGTTAATGTGCAGTTTAATGGTGCATGTGTTATAGTCATCAGTTATTGTCTAAAATTGCTTCAAGATATGCAGGAATAATGATTTTTGTTTCAGGTCATGGGAACTATTCTGTGCTTGACAAGTTTGAAAATAATCAAAAGAGAATTTGCTAGAACTTCAGTGAAATCTCTACAGTTAGAGTAGCAGACTATTAACTGTCAGGAAATCCTTTGTAATCCTACCCTACCCGTTAATTGCATCCTCTCATTATAGGTTTTATCTGTCTGTGTTGATGAATAGCACAGGTATTTATCAGTCTTTAGTGTCAGTCATCATGTTGCACTGACTCTCATGACACAATTATGCTTGAGGCACTGTTATACTGGCCGCAAATAAGAGTGCCTCAGAATTGTTCGTTCACATGGTTAAACAGCTGATCTGAGTTGGGTTCAAATGCTGGTTAAATTTAATGTTACCATAAATCTGGTGCAGAACTCCAGTATTGAAACAATGAAAAGATTCTTCTAAAATGCTTGTGACAGCATGACCGACTTTCAAATGTCTAAAACAATGTTTCAGTCAGGGTAAAGCTGAGGTGGGGTCTGGTGATTTCCTTTAGGTTTCTTTCCAAACATTGCTGGACGTTGATTTGGCCACCCTCACTCCTGAGTAGTTATACTATCCAGTCAGCCAATAAACACAAATAATATATAACCAGTTGATAAGATCTAAACAACATAAAATCATAACCAGACTCTGAACTGATAATCTTTCAAAGTCTTTGATTAATATTGTCTCTAGATGGGTTATTAGATTAATTCAAAACAATGATGCAGTGCAATCTTTAATTTTGTTGAAACAAGTGCTGGGCAAAATATATACAATGGTTGCTGCTGGTCATGGTCAGGAAACACAAATTGTTTCAGTGGTCTCCCTGTGTGCTGTCATTTAGTAGCCAATTCATTCTTTAATTGATGTTGTAACAGCAGACTTCACACTGAGTTTGTGCATTTTTAGGAGATTAGAAGTTCCCCTTTTGGCATATGTAGTCTTTTTTTTCTGAAATTTAGTTGGGAGTTTTTTAACCTCATAATAAGTGGTAAAAGAAAATCAGAATTTCAACTGGCAAAGCAATTGTCGTTTTTTGCTGTAATGGCTTCTGGTGCTTGCTTCTTTCCACTCCATTTATCCAAATCCATCAATCTTCAGACCTACTTGAATAACAGTGGATGATCGTATTTTCTAATGGGCATTACCAACAAGAATTGGCTGACGTGTCAAAAAAGAAGATCAGATATAATCTCCTCAAGCCGTAATCTTAATGCCATAAACCAGAGGTCAGGGGGATCCAATCTGGGCCCCTTCTTGACCGGTATACAGTGATCTTTTATTCTTTTGTGGGATATGGACATCACTAGCAAGGCCAGTATTTGTTGCCCATCCTGATTTGGCTTTGGTAAAACCATTGCAGAAGACCATCAAAAAACAACCACATGGTCTGGAGTCACATGGAGGCCAGTCCAGCTAAGAATGGCTGATTTCCTTCCCTAAAGGACATTAGTGAACCACACAACAATCCCTGGTAGCTCTCCATTACTGAAGTTAGCTTTATGTTCCAGAGTTAAGTGGCTTTAAATTCCACTGGCTGCCATGGTGGGATTTGATCCCAAGTAACCTGGGACCTAAATTGCTAGCCCAGAGACATTGCCAATACACAACCATCTCCCCTTAATTCCAATTGGAAAACACGTGTGGACATCAGATTGGTGCTAATTTCCAAACATCAATTTTATAGTCAGTTAGGGATTGCCTTCATTGGAGGAAAATGGGATAGGATAAATGTTGAGCACTCGATTGGTCTACCCAGTAAAAACAAATAAAATCTATACCATTGAGGAAGTGGAACAAGGACAATCTGACAGATTCAGTTTGCTCAGATTATAAGCATTGGTGTAGAATTGGCATTGTTAGCATTGTATAGGAATTGTGTTGTTGTTGTTAGTGTTGCATAGGAAGACAGCATTCTGTTATTGGGAGAAGGAGAATATGAAAGTCACCGATCAACATACACTTTCGACCAGAGGTTAACATGTGCAAAATGCTAATGCATGCTCTGATGAGTGGGTAAAATTTCATCACCCCTGACCCATTAAGATTAAATAAGCTGGTGTAATTAACATTCACTTCAACATTTATCCGTAAAGAGTGAATAGCTTATGCAGTAGCTACGTGGAGTAAGGGACCTACAGGCAGACTTCGCTTCCAGGAATATTCCAGATTCAGTTTGGAGTCTGTGATGAGTGAATAGATCCCAGCAAGAGCAGCAGTTTACATTGTGACAATATCCCTTAATTAGGGCAGAATGAATCAGTCAAAGTTAATGTTGCTTGACAGTATTGAGTAACCCCTGATGGGCACTGTAGCTAACAGCCAAAAGAGGATTGGGCTTTGTGAAGGTTCCCGCAGTCATACCTTCTTCATAAGTGTATGGCTTCAAAGGAGTAAAGAAGACTTAGAAAAATGATCTGCGTTTCTGGCCTACCTGAAAAATTCAATAGTTTTTTGGAAATGCATTGTCCTAATTTTTTTAATGCCAATTCTCCTGCATTATGTTTGCTATGTTAGATTATAAATGCACTTCTCTCTTTAGGATGTTCTCTATGCCATGAAAAGACCTTTTGGCACCAGCACAAAGGATTCTTCCTTCTCTAAGTTGATGGGCACTGACTGTATGGGCAGCATCCATGGGTATGTATGATTTGTGATCATTGAATTCTGTCTGAGATGACTCATGTAGCTGCTAATGAAATTTGCCCAAATGTCAAGTGTTTGTGGTACGGAGTTGGTACCTGCTGTCAATTCTCCACTTTATGCCAGGTAGATCTATCTGCTGTCTGTTGAAAAGATTGCATGTACAACATAAAGGACTAACTGCATCTGCAGGCCAGTTCTGGTGTGCTGTATTAGGGTTGCAGCATAAATGATTCCCTTGTATATAAAACATCTGTTTAGTTTAGTTTAGGAAACCTGGTCGGCATGGACGAGTTCGATGCAAGGGTCTGTTTCTATGCTTTATGACTCTGTGTATATTTAATCAGAGCAGTGAAAATTACAAGTATGTCCAGATGAAATCACTGTTGGTCATACACAAAGGTCAGAATGAGTGATTTACTTTTTTTTATTGACCTCCCTCTATTGTGCATGTTTATTTCGGCTTGCTTTCGTGTTATGGGTTACTGTCACTTTGAAATTCCTTTTACTTCTAAGAACGCACACATTGGTTTTCTTTCCCCACTTCTGATCTCATAGATTAACAGCCTGCTCATCACCGCCAACATTATTCCCTTTAGCTGGCCACAGGATGAAATTCCTCAGCCTCCTAGTTCCATTCTGCTCACATTAAGGACTGAATGTTGCAGCCCTCAAGCTTGGTTTTCACTATCACTAAATTCAGTGTCACTAAGTCACCCAAAAATACTATCCTTATGAATCTGTGGAAAGAGAAAATCTTGCGTCTTCCACTGGTATTAGTGAACAAATCTGAGCATGAGTGGGTTTACCCACTGTATACTGCTCCAACATCAACTTTACGGCCAACAGAAGAAATATACCCAGAAAATATAGGTCAGGAATCCTTCATCCAAAACCCTCGGGACCAACAGTTTTTCAGATGAAAGATGTTTTTGGTTTTCAACATTCTTGCCTTACCTTTTGTGACCTTTCACTAATTGCCTGACTTCCAAAAGCAAAAGATTCATTTAACTCTTGAACTTGTACCCTAGGTCTGTTGGGGAATGAGATCAAAAAACTGTTGGCATCTGTAAAAAATTTTTAATTTCATTATCTCTACACTTATTACTTTTTGTCTCCATTTGGTGCTACACTTCACATTTAGGTCCATTCTGGTCTGTTTGGGCCAAACGAAGTTTTACTCCAAAGGGCCCAAACAGACCAGAATGGACCTAAATATGAAGGCGGAAAGAAGTCATTGTTAGATCTGTTTGGGAAGTTTTAATCTAAAGGGCTTGAAGTCAGTGGGTCTGCTTTCAAAAAGAAATACAACTTTTAGATCGTTTTGGTTTTTGAATGTGAGGATAAAGGATAGCAGATCTGTAATTTCTTGTAATGTAGTGATGTAAACTAATAAATCAGTTCTATTTCTATTCTAATTCTTTTCTTGCAAAAGAACTCTGCACTTTCAATTAAGAATAAGGCAGAATAGAGAGTTAGGCCTCAAATGTGACTTCTGGCTTCAACGGCAACTTACAATTATATAGCGCCTTTAACATTGTTAAGCAACCAAAGGATTACCAAGCAAAATTGGACACCGAGCTCCATGAGGAAATTTCAGGTGATGTGTGCGTGGAGGAACACCTTGCGGTAGAGAGAGAAGTGGAGAGATTTAAGGAGACTTTTCCAGAGTTTACAGCTTATGCAGTGAAAGGCATGACTGCCAATAGTGCATCAATTAAAACTGGGAATGCTCAAAATGCGAGAATTGCAGGAATGCAGAGGTCTGCAAGGGTTGTTTGGCTGGAGGAGGTGACAACATTGTCTCACTTAGCTTATGTTATCTCCCTTAATTGATTAGATTTAATAATTTACAATGTGTGATAAATAAAGATTTGACATTGCTTTACTTCACCAGACTTCTGATTCTCTTTGTTTGGGGCTCAGGTCTGTTACTTCAGCTTTTCTGTATTTCTGCCTGTGAGGTATATTTTGAATTTAGTCAGTCCCACAAAAGAAAGGCAAGAAAATGAATTCTTGGAAAGACTTTTTAAGGCAAGTTATGCAAAGTAGAAAGGGATTCAGATTAAGTTGACAAACAAGTCAAGTGTTCATTTTTGCTACATGTTTAGCTATTTCAGGAAACATTTAATGGTTATGTTTCCCTTTGTATATTCCTGGGCATGTTGGTCTGTATTGTAAAGCTAGTGCTGTGCTACAGCTGTGAAATCTAACAAGTTTCACTTCCTCATATCATTTGTGCATTTTAACCCACTGGAATGTTATAACTCAAACACAGTTTTGGAAAGGTGTATCTTAAAAGCTACATTGATGAGGATTGGGAGGTTAGAATTATTATGTGCCAGTTATGTTAAATGACATCAAATTTTATGAAACTGATAGCTGTCACAAGTCCAGTTCCCCCTTGAATTAAGATTCCATTGGTGAAATTAACCAGTTCACTTCCATCTTGTACTTTTTCCAATTAAATTTTAGTCTTTGGGCAGCAGTATGTGTGTTAAATGTAGAAATGTTACTGGAGCTGTCCTAAGCTGTTGCACAGAATTGAACCAACATAGCATAATATGCTGTTTCCTTCAAATTATCTGCCCCTCTTTGAAGGCCAAGCTACAGTTCTGTTACTGCTAGTATCCCTCTGATCAGCTGTCCAAACAGCATTTCCCACCTGTGAGGTAGCACATGATGGCTGGTGGCTTGTCAGAAATAAGCAAAAATTGGTGCTGCTCAAAATTTAAACTTAAAAAATGTTTTAACTCATGGCTGTCACTATTGCAATCTGATCCACCAACTTTTAAAAAGCCTCGTGGGTTGCTCCCAGCATCCAGTAGTGCACAACCAAATGTATTCAATCTACTCCTCAGACCACAAAGCTCTTTGCATTGGCTTTGCAGGGGATGCATTCCGTTTACCTGGAGCTCAATGTAAGTTTCTTTGTTGCTACGTTGCTCCCACTTTAATGTCACTTGTACTATCGAATGCATTCAGCTGCAATAGTATTATATTGGCTGTTACAACCTTTCAGGTACTGTTCCCACTCAATCTACCACTCCCAGGACTCCCCCCAAAGCACTGAGTAAATAAAGCAAACTGAATGAATGCAGTGCTATAATATGCATTGTTTGGTTCACAGTGTACTATCAACATCTGGTTCAAGAATGCAACAAGTGTCCAGACCACAGCGTTCCGACTGCGGGCAACAGCTAGTGAGGGCAGCATCACAAGACTGGTATGGAATAAGATGTTGCAAATTTTGAAACTTCTGCATGCTGTTGCTATTCAGAGTTGTGTTTATCTTCCATTTCCTGTCGTTCCTTGCTTGCTGTCTACTGAAGTCGTTGACTCATGGCCTGAGTGTCATTCTATACGTTCCACTTGGCAATCAGTTTCTCACCCAAGGCCTCACCAGTTTTTCAATGTCAGAGCCAGGAATAAAACCAAGCTGTTACCATCCATTCAGATCCTGGCCTCGGCCAGGCATTTTCTGACATGTCACAGAATTACAGAATTGTCACGGTGCAGGAGGTCTTTTGGCCCATCATGCCTGCCCCCAGTTCATTAGTGCCAATTTCTTACCCTTTTTCCATACTCCTGCACACCATTACTATCCAAATAACCATCCAATGTTCTCTGTGTCAGAGGGTAGTAAACCAAGTGGGAGCTAAGGGGACTGTTTTTCTCTGCTGCATCCCATGTGTCACCCTTGCTCCAATCAGTGAACTGGTGTTCAGACTCTAATGCTG